AAAATACAAAGAAAATATTCAGTGATTTTGACTAAGATTTTTGAGTTCCAAATTTTAAATCCTATTTTTGAAAATGAATGTATCTTTCAACTTTTAAGACCCGTCCGGTCGTGGGCCCTCCATAATTACAATTTTTTTAATTTTTGAAAATTTGATTTTTTTTCTCTATAAATCATCATAAGTACCGATTTTTGTCACTATATACTCTTTCTTAACTTATTTGAAATTAATTTTAATACTTTTTAATTGTTAATAGGTGTTTAAAATCAATAAGTAAACGATTTTTTTGAAAATTTGATATCTTTTGAACAAGTAATCAAAAAAAATCTCAAAATTTACCCGAAAATCTCTTTTGAGGGGTACTAAAAATTATGGAAAAANTTTTTTAGGGGTAATAGATTTAAAATAATTATTTTGCAGCATTATAAAATGTACAGGGAGGTTGATTTACGAAAGTCTATAAAACTTTCGTACAGCCAAAACGGTGATAGATACAAAAAATCTGATATCGATGTCCCGTCCTCCACTTTTGAGTTTAGTTCGCTGCTTCCAAAATATCTTAGCTAATTTGATTAATTTTAGATATGCCGGGATTTTTTGAAAATTCGCCCATTTACATTAGCCTCTCTGTCTCCGTTGTCATTAAATTCAGAAGAAAGAAGTTTGAACATTATTTGTTACATTTTTTTATGAGAAAGCCATTGGCGTACTGAGATTTTTTACAAATCGCAGTGCAGTTTTTCCGATATTACATAAACATGGATTTTTTTAAATTTTAAGATTTATAAAACCAAGTAATAGTCGTTGAACAAGCTTTTAGTCGGTCAAAAATAAGTTAACTGTCAACATTAAACAACAAAAGACGAATACTAAATAAATCCCATGGCCAACTGAAAAAATACATTTTTTGAATTTTTCTTCATTTAGGTAAATAAAAAGTGTCTATTATTGTAGTTGGCTGAAAAGGTAAAAAAAATACTATTCAGGATGGTAAAGTACAGGGTGTTCTATTTAAAAAAACCTATGTTTATGTAATATCGAAAAAACTGTGCGATTTGTATAAATCGCCAATGGCTTCCTCATAAAAAATAGAACAAATAACGTTCAAACTTTTTTCTCCTAAATTTAAAAACAACAGAGACTTTTCAAGAAACCCTGTATATTTAAAACTAATCAAGATAGCCTAGCGAAATGAACTCAAAAAAAGAGGACGGGACATCGATATCCGATTTTTTTTTATCTATCGCTATTTTGGCTGTACTCTATAAAACTATCGAAAATCAACCACCCTGTACAAAAACAAATCAAAATATTTATTGAACTTGTAATAAATATTAGGAAAGTTATTAGTGAAATTGGAGATTAAAAAATTTGGATGAATAGAATTTTGAAAAAAGAATACTCATAGTCGCAAGCTAACTTAAAATAAATACCCTTACAATATTTTTCCCGACAAAGGAATGGGCGCAAATCCGGTATTTTACCTAAAAATGTTTTATTGCATAAACTACGCAACTTAGGTATAGGGAAAGCTATTAAAAAATTGTAGGGTCTAATAAAATCATAAAACAGAGTGTTCTATTCGAAAAAGTCAGGTATGGCACGATTTTTTTTGCCCCCTGTATATCGCAGGTCAACTTTTGATACGTTTTTTGAAAGAGCCATCTTCACTATACAGTTCCTGAAAAAAAATAATTTCTAGCTGTCATACAATCATAATTATATCAACTACTAGAAGTGACGAAATATAAGAAAAAAAATGAAAAGTCGATTATCTCGAAAACTATCAATATTTTAATAGGGATCATAACACGAAGTCCCGTTAATTTTTCACGTAAAATTCGATAATGCCATAAAAAATATAGGTTTCCATTTAAAAAAATTAAGTGGTGTCTGCCCAGGAAAAACTGAACTCCCTGTATATGAAAAAATATATTTTCATTTTGTGCAGCTCGGGAAAGTAAGCAACTTTGTAGAAAAAAAAATTAAGTTATACCTTTTATTAACCTAGATATTGGACTTACGCGCACTAGGTGGACACGGTGTATAGTGTAAGGGTGTAACCTTACAAAGTTATTTATTTCAATGTTTAATGACGGCACGTCGTGTTTGTGTGTCTTCATTGTTAAATTTCTGTGATATGAACAAACGCAATCAAGTTTGAGGTTACATTAGCCTGTTCAGCGGCGGGGTATGAAAATTACGAAAAAAACAAACTCGTATCTTAATAAAGAGTAGCCTCCGTATAAATATCAGTCCTGTTCAGAGTTATATGAACAGATGTAAAAAATAAACAAATTGAGCTGCTACAGATCCATGATTAGAAACGAACGCGAAAATTGACTAAACTGAAACACATGTTAAGAAATACCAATAAATATGCTCAAGCAAACGGTCAATCTCAATCTATTACATTTTCGATTTATTTGTTTCCGATACCGAGAACTAATTGTGGAAATCAATTGTTTTTTGAAAAAGTATGCAACCTGCAATTAATTTTCAATTTTATTGGCTGGAACTCCGATAGGCAACCAATATTGCAGATGCAGATATAAAGGTTGCCTACACTCGCTCAATAAGCGAGAAACTTGGCAATTAAAAAGTCATATTAGACTAGGCGGTATCTGTTTTGGTTTGTGTGAATCGTATATCCACGGAGATTTTTGGCTTTTTGGCTTTCAAATATCACTAGAAATGAAAATTTTTCTATGCGCAAAAAAAAAACGTGGGCTTAACTTTTGGCGGCACAATATGTTAAAAAAATTCGAAAAATGTCATATTTTTCTTCCTATTTAATTATGTATCTTTTCAAGAGTTGATTTTAGGCGAAAATGGAAGAGGAAAAAAATGTTTGTAATTAATTTTTTTACAAAACATGACTAGTTACAAATCGAATGAATCATGATTATTATGGTAAAAATCGAAAAAATCGCAAAAATGGGGTTAAAAAACAATACTTTTTTGGGAATTTTTTTGGGGTATTTAAATTGGGTATAGGACCTTTATACTTGGCTCAAGAAAACTTCATGTTATGTAGAATCATCACACCAAATTTCATCAAAATCGGTTCGATAGATTTTGCATAATAATTTTGCAATCCAGATTTTGAAAAAAAAATTGCAAATTTTCAAAATTTTGCACAGCAAAAACCAAGGCCCTTAGATACTTGAAAATTTAATCACATATAGAAGGGCTCTCAAGCTTTCAAACTTTTTTTGAAAAATTCGAATCCGTCAATTAGGAGAGCTCTGGCGCTTGTTTAAACATTGGTCGAATTTTTGTACTTATAAACAATTAGAACTTTGTGAATATTCAATCAAATCAAATTTTTTAAAGCAGGTTTTAAGTTATTGGAAAGATGCTTCTTTAAAAAATCAATTAATTACGTAGCCGATCAAAGTTAACCGTCATTTACACTAAATGTACTGGGACATCCGGGCAAATTTTTCGAAAAATACCTTTGGTATACCGAGTACTTACCAGGTCTAATATTATAACACTTTTCTTCATTGGAAACCTACTTTAAAACCTGTTTAAAGTTATTTATGCAAGCGAGAAATTCAATAAAATCGTACGGGTGGTGGTGGTGGGGGAAGCAGAGAGCGCGGCCGCTTCGGCCTGCTCGAAATTGAATCGGCGAGTTCAAAACCGTGACGCCCTTAAAACTTTTTAATATCTCAGCTTCTAGAGGTCCGATTTTGATTTTTTTTTTTAAATCGATGTCTCGCGATTTAAAAAACAATTAGCGTAGTTTCAAATGCCTATGGTTAATAATTATTAGTCTTTCAACAGTCCGATAATTATTTCTTTAAACTTACTTTAATTATCAACTTTATTTTTTTATTGTATCAAAGGTAAGTGCATAAACTTATATACTGTTTATCAAATATCAAAAAACAAGTTTATTTAAATATTCTAAAATTCTTTAAACAACAATTATTTTAAAAATATGTCGAAAATTAGTAATCAATTAATTATTAATTTAATCATCATTCCTTTTGTGATTAAAGTATAATTTAAATATTATTTACTGTTTAAAATATAAGCAAATGAGAAATTCACCCATTATATTACAAAAGTACAAAATTATAGTACAAAAATTCGACCAATGTTTAAACAAGCGCCAGAGCTCTCCTAATTGACGGATTCGAATTTTTAAAAAAGCTTTTGAAAGCTTGAGGGCCCTTCTATGTGTGATTAAATTTTCAAGTATCTAAGGGCCTTGGTTTTTGCTGTGCAAAATTTTGAAAATTTGCAATTTTTTTTCCAAAAACTGGATTACAAAATTATTATGCAAAATCTATCGAACCGATTTTGATGAAATTTGGTGTGATGATTCTGCATAACATGAAGTTTTCTTGAACCAAGTATGAAGGTCCTATACCCAACTTAAATACCCCAAAAAATTCCCTAAAAAGTAATGTTTTTTAACCCCATTTTTGGCGATTTTTTCGATTTTTACAAAAATAATCATGATTCATTCGATTTGTAACTAGTCATGCTTTGTAAAAAATTTAATTACAAACATTTTTGCCTCTTCCATTTTCGCCTAAAATCAACTCTTGAAAAGATACATAATTAAATAGGAAGAAAAATATGAAATTTTTCGAATTTTTTTAACGTATTGTGCCGCCAAAAGTTAAGCCCACGTTTTTTTTATGGGCATAGAAAAAATTTAATTTCTAATGATATTTGAAAGCCAAAAAGCCAAAAATCTCCGTGGATATACGATTCGCCCAAATATGGACTCTTTAAAACAGATACCGTCTGGACTATATTTATAAAAGAATACTTTTGATAATAACAGAAAATGATAATTCATATCGCGTAGCTTGTACGTTTAAAATAATAACTTGTTTTTAAAATTCCAGTCAAACGTAAGAAATTTCTACGTTCTCAGTACTCTGGGCCCTGCCAATAACACGCACTCAGATTTAAATGAAACAAATAACCATCAAGTAATTAAAATATATTACAAAACGTTAACAATTTGTGCTGAATATCACATAGGCAATTACACTCGTCAACTAACACATGCGAAACTTACAACGAAATAAATCGTATCACAGCGACAACCTCAAAAGAACAACCTGCTTCTTGGCGGCCTGTAAGGGCCCTGTCTCTGCTGTATCCTCAAAATCTCCCTCTGCAACCTCTCCTCTTCCTTCCTGATCCTCTCCAACTCCTCGTCGATCTCCCTCAACTTAATATTCTCCTGCTGCTTCTTCCTGGCGTTCTTCACCTTCACGTCCTCCTCTATCATCTTCCTGGTACCGGCCTTCCTAGCTTCTTCCTCTACTTTAAGCTTATCCAGTTCGCCGTTGCACTCCTCGATCTTCCTCGCCATCTCTTCCCTCTCCAGAATAATCTGTCTTTGCTTTTCCTTGTTCCTCCCCAGGTTATCTTCCACTTGTCTCCCGATCGTTTCTATTACTTCCTTCACCAACTGCTGTCTGGCGAGTTCCTCTCTCTTCCACATCTCGGTTTGTTTCTCGTAGATGGCTCTAGCCTCCGAGTCGAACAAGAATTCTAAATGACGTCGCCTCTGCCTTTCCAGTTCTTGCTGTTCCTTTACGATCTCCAAGAATTGGTCTAAGCCTTCGCGTATCTCCCTCTTCTTTAGCTCGTCTTGAAATATGTCTTCCAATTCCAGCGCCTTCAGTTTAGTTATTAGGGCTTTTTCTGCGACGAGATTCTCCTGTACATCAGCTGCTTTCTGTTTGAGTTTTAACTTGTGCTGTTTCAAATTGTACAAGGCGCATTCCCTTTCTTTTCTTCTCCTCTCCTCTTGCGCTTGTTTTTCGACGATCTCCGCCAGTTCCGCCTTCCTCTTGCCTTCCTTGTCGTCCAACTTTCTCAATCCTTCGCTTAAAGCTTGCTTTCCCTTCAATTCGCGGACCTGTTTTTCTAAATCAGCCTTCAATTGCTCCCTTCTTTCTTCCAAATGCCTTTTAAACCGTTCTTCCTTTTCCTTCTCCTTCCTGATTCTCTCGTCGCGCTCTCTGAGTGTCCTCTTGGCTTCCTCCTCTTCTTTTTCCTTCTGCATACGTTTTTCTATCTGTTGGTCCAGCCAACTCAACTTTATGTCCTTGCAGCGGTACTTGCTTTCATACTGTCGCACTATGGGGTTGTTCTTCCTCCACTGGTGGTACAACTTGGTCTCCGCCTCGTGTCTCCTCCTCTCCTCTTCTTTTAATCTTATCCCCGTGTTGATTTCCTTCAGTACGTCCGTAGGAATGTCTTCAGGTTTGATTCTGGGACTCCGGTCGACCAGGCTCTTGTTCTTGTACACCATGAGTTCGATTTCGAACGAACTCTGCTCTTCCTGTAGGAGCTGCCTCAGTTTTTCTCTCCTTTTTTCCAGCCGTTCCCCCTTTTCTCGTTTCTGCGTGATTTCGGACATGAGCCTGTTGTTGTCTTTGTAGTACCGGGGCGAGGTCCACTCGTCGAACTTAGTATTGGCCTTCTCCCAGTGTTTGTAGTACTTTTCCGCGCTGCCCCACATCTGCTGGTGGGAAAACTCCCTTTCCCTCCTCCTGATCATCTCGTTTTCCACGCGCAATCTGTGCTTTCCCCTCTCCTTGGGTCTCTCCATCTGAAAATATTTTGCACGTAAGTTTTTTTAATGGAAAAAGGGGGCTAGAGTGTTGTTAGAGTGAATGAGTTTTGTCGTTTTTATAAAAAAAAAACACAGAGTGCAAAGTATTTTCAAATGTAAAGAATGCAAAAAATAAAGAACAACCACAAGTGTAAAGGGGAAAACAGTCTAATATGAAAAAGGAAATATGCAGGAAAAGTTATTTTTCTACAAATAGCGTGTATATCAATCAAATTCTTCAAGGTAAATAATAAAGTATGTAGGTATAATTATTAGGGGAGAGAAAGATATGGTCAGATTTTGTCTTCCTCGTTATGTTTACATTTCTTTCTAAGATATTTCGAAGAATTTTTAACTAATGATACTATTCTGCGGACTTATTATAATCCAGGCAGACGGTATCTGTCTCAAAAAGCCATATTTGGGTGAATCATATATCCACGGAGATTTTTGACTTTTTGGCGTTCAAATATCACTAGAAACGAACATTTTTCTATGCGTATAAAAAAAAACGTGGGCTTAACTTTTGGCGGCACAATATGTTAAAAAATTCGAAAAATGTCATATTATTATTCCTATTTAATTATGTATCTTTTCAAGAGTTGATTTTAGGCGAAAATGGAAGGGGTAAAAATGTTTGTAATTAATTTTTTTACAAAACATGACTAGTTCAAATCGAATGGATAATAATTATTATGGTAAAAACCGAAAAAATCGCAAAAATGGGGTTAAAAAACAATACTTTTTAGGGATTTTTTTTGGGATATTTAAATTGGGTATGGGACCTTCATACTTGGCTCAAGAAAACTTCATGTTATAGAATCATCACACCAAATTTCATCAAAATCGGTTCGATAGATTTTGCATAATAATTTTGCAATTCAGATTTTGAAAGAAAATTTGCAAATTCGTACGGATGGTGGTGGTGGGGGAAGCAGAGAGCGCGGTCGCTTCGGTCTGCTCGAAACTGAATCGGCAAGTTAATCATTATTGTTCTTTCAACAGTCCGATAAATATTTATCTTTAAACTTCCTTTACTTATCAACTTTATCTTTCTATTGTATCAAAGGTAAGTGCATAGACTTATATACTGTTTATCAATTTTCTTGAATTTATCGCTTGCATAAATAACTTTAAACACGTTTTAAAGTAGGTTGCCAATGAAGAAAAGTAGATATTGTAATCTTAGACCTGGTAAGAAGTCGGAATACCAAAGGTATTTTTCGAAAAATTAGCCCGGATGTTCCAGTACATTTAGTGTTAATGACGGTGAACTTTGATCGGCTATAAGTACGTAATTAATTGACCAATCGATCTGTTTTTTTAAAGAAGCGTGTTTCTAAGAACTTTTAAAACCTGCTTTAAAATATTTGGTTTGATTGAATATTCACATAGTTATTCTAATTGATTATAAGTACAAAAATTCTACCAATGTTTCAACAAGCGCCAGAGCTCTCTTAATTGACGGATTCGAATTTTTCAAAAAAAAATTTGAAAGCTTGAGAGCCCTTCTATATGTGATTAAATTTTCAAGTATCTAAGGCCATGATTTTTGCTATGCAAAATTTTGAAAATTTGTAAATTTTTTTTTCAAAATCTGGATTGAAAAATTAATATGCAAATTAATTTTGATGAAATTTGGTGTGATGATTCTACATAACATGAAGTTTTCTTTAGCCAAATATGAAGTTCCTATACCCAATTTAAATACCCCAAAAAAATTCCTTAAAAAGTATTGTTTTTTAACCCCATTTTTGCAATTGTTTCGATTTTTACCATAATCATGATCCATTCGATTTGTAACTAGTCATGTTTTTCCTCTTCCATTTTCGCCTAAAACCAACTCTTGAAAAGATACATAATTAAATAGGAAGAAAATATGACATTTTGCGATTTTTTTTTAACATATTGTGCCGCCACATTTATTTTTATGCGCATAGAAAAATTTTCTTTCTAGTGATATTTGAAAGCCAAAAAGCCAAAAATCTCCGTTGATAATTTTAAGATCTATAATTTTTGTCTGAGCTACTTTTTTGATAAAACTTAACGTTTTCGAAAAAAAACCAAAACACCTCAAATTTTGACCTTTGACCCCGAATAACTTTCTTAGCACACATGGGATCGATGGGGACTTTTTATACTTTATTTCTAATGGTGTACCCAAGGTCTCCACCAAAATTTAGCTCTGTCGGAATTTTCGTTATTTGACCACTATTTTTATGACTAATTTGACCGGACTATCAATAGTACATCCCAGAAAAAGGTTACATAACAAATCGGCATATTGTAAGATCCTCTACACGTGCCTGCTCTGTGTCGGTAGAGTTATGCAACACCCTGTATAATTTATTTGCCCGATCTAATGATGCTACACAAATCGTTAGTGTGTTTGCCGAGTTAGAGATTACCAGCTGACTTCGATGTCTGTTTATAATTCCCATTTGCTAGAAAAACGAAAAAATCCCCGCATTTTTATCAGTACAGCAATAATATTTGCTCAAGCAAATCATTTTTTTTTTCATGGCTAACCATAAGAATTTATTTAGAATTATATCTCGGCGGCCGGCGAGAGACATGTTAAACAGTGCGTAGATTTCCAAGGGATCCCCCTATCAAGGACCGTAACACAGCTGCGCGACGGCTATTGGCATAAAATGATTTTTCTGTAAAAAAAATAAATTAACGCGCCATTAAACAAAACAGCACTCCGAATTATGGCGTTTTTATTATAATTAGAAATTACGAGGACGAATCGCATGATGAAACCATTCAAGATTTCGACTCGTTAACTACTCAATACAGGGCGATTCAACAAAAAGAACCGTTTCTCAAATCCACCTACTCGATCAGTAAGTGCAGTTAGCGCCGTTCGTGAAATCGAGTAACACCACAATGCGACAAGGCCATAATTCTGAATCGTGACGTCAGTTAGAGTGGTTTACCGCAGCACACAGACACGGCATCCGACTGACCGCGGAATCTATAATAAATAGTTGCATCGAATTAATTTCCGTAGTTTTCGATTCAATAATATCAGATTTAAGAAAGGGACTTGTAAACCTTTACTAAATCCTATAAAATACGAGAAAAAAGGTAAACAAAAAACTTGCAGCGCACCGTAAAAATTGTTGCCTTCCCTCTAAAGTTAGATCTGTTAATACTTTATTACAAAAATTTTTGGTTAAGGCAAGATAATAGTTCCTAAGTGTCTTAAATATTTACAAGCGTGAGGATTCGATATAAACAACATTGACGATAAATTTAAAGTTTCCCTAGAGTATAGCTACCTTTCTCTTGAAGTGTAATAACGAGCGTTCAAATAAAAACGTGGTCAAGTTGGTTCTGAAAATTTGGACGTAGGGCGTAGCGTATAGCAAATGAACTTAAACGTCATCTGTCAAAGCGCTATATCGCCGCTATCAATTTGAATATTTTCGTTTTAAAAAGCGTTTAAAATGGTGTTTTCTCAAGAACAAAAAGTGTTTATCATAGAGTCCTACTTTAGAAATGGACGCAAGATTGATGGAATATGGAAGTATTCTATTGAGGAATGTTTCATAGAATTTCAAAATCAATTTCCCGGCGTTGTTGAGTACAAAATTTTTCAAAGTGCAGTTCAGCGTTGTGTTAATGTTTTTCGTGAAACGGGCAGTGTAACAAGAAAAGAAGGAAGCGGCCGACCTAAAAAGCGGACTGAAGAATTAAAAGAAAATGTCCAACAAATAATGGAAAATGCGCCAAGAACTTCTGTACGTGTTTTATCACAAATGGTGGGAGTATCAGTCGGTACCTGCCACACAGTGTTAAAAAAAGATTTGCGTTTGTTCTCCTATCGTTTAACTTGTCAGCAAGAACTTCATGAAGTTGATTTTCCGCGACGGGCTGTATTTTGTGAATGGTTTTTAAACAACTACGGTGAACTTCATAATATCACCTTTTTTTCTGATGAAGCCTGGTTTCATTTAAGTGGTTACGTAAACTCACAGAATATGAGAATGTGGTCTTCTGAAAAACCAGATAACTTTTTTGTCGAGGGCCCTCTACACGCTCAAAAAATTGGAGTTTGGTGTGCTCTCAATCGAAGGAGGATTTATGGACCTATTTTTTTTAATGGTACTCTTACTGCGCAAAGGTATAGAGAAGAAATTATCGCTCCTTTTGTTAACCAGCTGGAAGAAAACGAAATTACAAACTTTTACTTTCAACAAGATGGCGCAAGGGCACATACGGCAGGCGAGACGATGAATATGTTGAGGGAAGTTTTCCAAAATCGACTAATAAGTCTCAATGCTGAACATGAATTTCCACCGAGGTCATGTGATATTACGCCGTGTGATTTCTTTTTGTGGCCTTACCTTAAAAACACTATTTTTGAACTGCCTATTCCTGATTTAAACCATCTGCAGGCTCGACTTATAGACAAGATTCGTGAAATTAACAATACCCCGAGCATCTTAGAAAATGTCTTTAATTCTTTGAGGAACAGGTGTGAAAAGTGCTTGGAACAAGGAGGGGGACACTTTCAGCAGCTGCTTTAATTTATTGTTATAACAAGGAGGGGGACACTTTCCGCAGCTCCTTTAATTGTTTGTTATTGTTATCACGATTATTCTTTAAAATAAAGTTATATAGTCATTAACGTTATTGAAACTGACAGCTGCTATACAGCTCGTTGAGAAATGAGGTTAAGTTGGTCGCTATAAGCTACTCCCTACGTCCAATGTGTCAGAGCCAACTTCGACCACGTTTCTATTTGAACGCTCGTTATAATTTTAATGTTCAGCTCCAAAAGAAAAACTAACGCAATCAATCTACTGATTCTTCATTTTAAAAAATATGCTACAAACATGATTTACTATTTTTTTTACACTCTTTAATATTAATTCGGAAATCGGTTAACTGTTTTCAACAATTTTATCTACAAAATGTTGTATTTCAATGATAATAATAGATGTCTAGAACAATTAGGGAATATAACAGAGTATAGCACCTGCATGACATTTTTATTATGAAAGAGAATCCGTTATTATTTCTTCAGTTCTAGAATCTCCTCGAGACTCAAACCAGACAATACCTTCTTTTACAAAATGTAATTCACAAACCTTCGAATTTTTTGTTAACGCAAAATCTTTTCTAGGCGTCTAGGCTCATTTGGAAAATTAAAAGTGAATTTTCGATACATTTTTCGGATTGATACGGATTCCGTCTACGGTTGTGGTGTATTCGCCAACGAAACGACTTCAGCTGACGTCACAAAGAACTCCAGACATGAGGCAAGGCCTCCTTGTATATATGGTGAACTGAGAGGTTTGTTTACATGCCAGATAACGCCACAACCAATGAAACATTATCGCTATTTTATATGTTTTTATTAAATTTTTGAAAGACGCTATAAAAGTACCCATCCAAGGCACTCTACGGCCGTTTCACAGCATCAAGAACTGAAACGACTGCATGGACGGCATCTACTTTTAGGTCGTCCACCCTGTACCGCCGCGTAGTTAGCTCTTCGTTAAAAACCGGAGGCACATTCATCTCCAGCTGGTGATTTCGGAAGACTGTGGATCCCCGTAATGTCAACACTAGTCGACCGGCCAATTTTTTTATATAACATGAAAACATTTTATTCATAATAACAGCATCGTAATTACTATTATTAACGGCGTTGTCTGCGCGAGATAAACGCCGTGGTTCTTCGGCTGCGGTTAGGGAAAAAAACAGGACCGTCGTCAGGTGGGGGTGGCGCGCGGGTCTAGACCAGACAAAGAAAACTGATCGACAAGGAAAAACGCGTCAGGTCGTAAAAATATTGTTTTTTTTGGATCGGCACATACTTGAGGTATTATTAAATGCGGTACTTTTACCTCGTTATCGTTCATATATTTCGCTATTTGCGTACACGTTCGCTTGTTTAAGTTCCACAGCTATCTAGAATTTGCATAGATATGATAAAGGTAATCGACTACATCAGAGCAAACCGTGCAACGGTTAGAGTGTTCTATTGGCCACATTAAGTGGTGGCACAGGACTTTCAAGAGACAGTTTCAAGTACCTCTAATCTCCATACGTGTTCTTGTTTGCTTTGGTGATGTCGAATAATTATACAGCGTGAAAATACAGACTGATGGTTCGCTAACGTAGTTCTGCAAGACTTCCTTGATGATACGCCGATATTTTTTAGATCTGGATAAAAGCCTACATAGTTCAACAAAATGGGTAGGTGGAAAATTTTACGTCCTAAGATAAAGCTTCAATGTCGAGTTTGAAACAACTACACACGGCTGTTGTATATGTCTCCACAAATTCCGGTCCTGTCCCAAATTCTTTCGCCACTATCGAGCCATCTTCAGGTTTCTTTCAATAGAATTATGTTACGTTACACTCATCGCTGACACCATCTGACACAGGGTAAACAAACTTTGTATTCGCACGTAGCAAAGCGCAGAAATATGTAAAAATACGGGTAACCCCAGTCGGTTCGTGTAAATTATGACTTAATTGGAACGCACTGCGGAAACCGGAGAAAATATTTCAACAGGAGGCAGAAAAAAAATAATTAAAGACGATCGATTTTTTTTTTATTGTACAATACAGGCGTTCAAAAATGCCCTGATCTGAATCTCAAACGTGTCAGATGCAATTTGAGTATATTTCCTGATTCTTTTGAATGTACAAATGAAAAATTTCGTATTCAATATTTTCAAGAACTCGGATGGGTATCAAATTTCTGATCATAGACCAAGCTTCTCGATTTTGTACACATATTAGCCAAACATCCTGTGTAACAGAGCCTTTTTGTACTTAATTTTTCCGCAATTTACATTATACAGAAATGTTTTTGTTTAACGGTACCCGCCTGCGAACATTTAAGGTAGCTCAGACTGTACTTAGGTGGATAGGGGGTACGTAGGTTTGTCTCCCCCACCCAGTTGATCTGAGCTCTATTAAGATCATATAAATATAAAAATCCGATCGCTATCTCCAAAGTTGTGCGCCAATAGGTGTGGTGACATTATTATTATTATTATCAGTATTTATAATTTTTACCGCAACTTACAAAAACGACGTGGTTGTACATTTAACGGAAAATAGCTACCTTGTAATCGATGGGGGAAATTCGCCTACAATTTTTTTATGTTAATTTGATAGTGGTGGTGATATTGGCGTATGGTAAGTTAATTTAATTAAAATTGTGTGTTAACATTTGTCAACCAGCAGAGAGTTCATAAAATATTTAGTTAAAAAAACAGCGCCGCGATGCATGGCGTCGTGCATACATGCTTTTTCTATTTAAATCCTGATTTTGAACGAAGGCCACTAATAACTTAATACGAAGTCGTTAAATGTGAAAATAATTACAGGATGCTGGGAAATATATATGCTGAAACGAATTTATGTTTTATTTATCTAGGAATTCAACAAACCAACGCGAAACAAAGAAATAAAAAACGTAGTAAATTTTAATGATATTAAAATTATATTTCCGCCTCATTAAAGACTGTTGCAGTCTGACAATGCATTATCATTATTTTTTTTATGAACGATGACATCGACATGCAACAAATTAGCGAAATTATAAACGTATTTATCATTAAATATTAATCAATCACTTAATTTATTCTTCTCCTGAGCAAAAATCTCTATGCTTATGCATACGAACATGTTCAAAATTGAGACAAGGATACAACTGGCTCTTTAAAATATCCTGACATGAATATTTTTAATTCCGGCAGCTTATAATACAGGGTGATTTCAGCATAAAAACTACAAGCATAATACAGAGCGTTAAGGTTTTAAAGCAAGTAAATATTTTTTGTGATATATCAAAAAACTATTAAAAATTAAAATGAAAATTTAGTTACAAACGAAGAGGTTCTTTGATTGGTAGAATTTTAGTTCCACCTTTCTTCAGATTTCGAAAAAATATTACCGTCCAAAACCTACCAACTTACAATTTTTTTTTCGGAATAAGTATTGTTCAAAAGCCATCTCTTTTTTGTAAGGATGGAGATCCTCCACCAACAGGTGTACCACCTTGTCCACCCAATTTAAATTCACTGGATTATTTGAGGAGCTCCCAAAGTTTGGTTAATGCAAAAAAACATGGCAAAATCTATGACGATTTACATTACCGTTTTCCAGGAAAATAAAAGAAACAAAAATGATGAAAATGAACTTTTTCACTCTGAGATTTGTTTATAGGATAGTGTAGGATTTGAGGTCAGAAAACATATACATACAGAGTGATTCACAAATGGTGACCAAAAATGAAACCTCGTATTCTTCGGTGAATTTTAAGGGTAGTATTTCCTATAAAGTTTTTGTTTAGGACGCCTGGCTAAAAAGATACAGGGTGTTAAACCTCAAAAATTATTTTTAATTTATTTAAATAATTTAAAAACTAGTAAGTGAAATAATTTGAAATTGGACACATGTATTTATGTAAACATTGTGCAAACTCTGAGGGCTTTTCCTAAAATTTACATGCTCCAGTGGCGGAGAAACAGGGTATCAGTGATATATTTTTATAAATAAAATAGTACGCCACTGCTTTACGGTAACAACCGTGATATTTTCGGATTCGTCTTTCAATTTTCTACAAATTGCTACTCTCTTATGTTTTTCGAAAAAAAAAAAACGATTTTCGAGTAAAACTTAAAAAACGAACTGAAAACACACTTGGATATTCGAATAAAATGCGGATTAAAATTATAAGCATAGCTGGCTGCGATAGCAACTTTGACATTCTAAGCAGTTAGAAGAAAGAATAAATAATGTTTTTCATCACATTCAAGCAACAGTAAATTTCGAACAAATTACATTTCCGCTACTAAAAAGATGTCGCCCCTGTGTTAGTAGAAATGGAGGTATTTTTGAGCATTTACTCAAATAAAATCATTAAAATGATGACTAATAACACTAGTAACACCGAATTAATTAGTGCTTGTCATATCATTTAAGTAAAAGTGTTTTCAGTTGGCTTTTTAAGTTTTACACGAAAATCAGTCTTTTTTAGAAAAAAATAAGAGAGTAGTAGTTTGTAGAAAATTGAAAAACGAATCCGAAAATATCATGGTTGTTACCGTAAAGCAGTGGCGTACTATTTTATTTAGAAGAATATGCCACCGATACCCTGTATCTCCGCCACTGGAGCATGCACATTTTAGGAAATGCCCTCAGATTTTGGAGAATGTTTACATAAATACATGTGCCCAATTTCAAATTATTTCACTTATTAGTTTTTAAATTATTAAAAAAAAATTAAAAATAATTTTTAAAGTTTAACACCCTGTATATATCTTTTTAACGAAGCGCCCTAGATAAACACTTTATAGGAAAGTCTTCCTTTAAAATTCACCAAAGAATATGAGGTTTTATTTTTGGTTACCAATTGTGAATCACCCTGTATATTATTTTTTCGCGTTTTTTTTTACCAAAAACTGCCAATACATCAATGAATATGCATTTTTTTCGAAAAAAAGTTTCATATGTTCTAAATTAAATTTCCTACAACATTGCTCCCATGGAAAATTACGATTTTCCCAATAGTTTTCCCGTCGATTGTTTTAAATGAAGTACAGATTATGTGAAAATTAATGTTTTGGGGCTAAAATAACAAAATAACAAATGAATGCCAATGATAAAATTAGAAATTTCGAATAAATCATGAACTCTCATGCGTTATCAAGAGTACCTTTTTTGTAGTAAATAATTTACTTGGTGCAAATTTTATACCTACAATACTTTTCTTCCATTGGCGTATGATTATGGAAGGTATATAATTGCTAAAAAAGTTGTACGCCAATGGATTGATATTTCGATACGGTGTTCACTGTCCTATAGAGCGGTGTCAACTTACTAAATTTTGGCAAAATCGCATAAACTGTTCTAAATTTATATAAAAAAGACGATTTCAAAATTGCAACTTCAGAGTAGCTGAAATCGACTTATTTTGAGGGGCGCTGTATCTGGTGGAGCGTTGTATAGACATTTTATGGACACCCCCTAGAATTTAAAGTGAAATCACCCCGTGTAACTTTTTTTTCTTCAGCGAACGCTGTGACCGACCCGGAGATCGTCCCCAGGAGCGCGTGGCACGCCAGACCGGCCAAACAGGCGGATCCCATCATCAGCCCGGTTCCCTACGTGGTGATCCACCACACTTTCAACCCCCCGGCGTGCAACACCACCGAAGAGTGCCTGTCCGCCATGAGGTGGATGCAGGACTTCCACCAGTTCAACAGGACGTGGTGGGACATCGGGTACAACTTCGCCGTCGGCGGGGACGGGAAGGTCTACGAGGGCAGGGGGTGGTTCACGATAGGGGCGCACGCTCCTAGATACAACAGTATCAGCATGGGGATCAGCCTGATAGGGGACTGGACAGGTGAGTTATAACGGTGTTTAAACAAAAAGCAAAAAAGTTCCGAATAAAATTAATAGCTCTCCCATCAAATGTTCTCATAAATCTGTTAACGACCCATGAATTTTTTATCCTCTAATCCTAATCTAATTTAAATCAACAAAATAACATGTAGACCAGGCGGTATCTGTTTTGGTTTGGGTGAATCGTATATCCACGGAGATTTTTGGCTTTTTGGCTTCAAATATCACTAGAAATGAAAATTTTTCTATGCGCATAAAAAAAACGTGGGCTTAACTTTTGACGGCACAATATGTTTAAAAAATAGGAAAAATGTCATATTTTTCTTCCTATTTAATTATGTATTTTTTTAAGAGTTGATTTTAGGCGAAAATGGAAGAGGAAAAAAATGTTTGTAATTAAATTTTTTACAAAACATGACTAGTTACAAATCGAATGAATCATGATTATTATGGTAAAAATCGAAAAAATCACAAAAATGGGGTTAAAAAACAATACTTTTTAGGGAATTTTTTTGGTGTATTTAAATTGGGTGTAGGACCTTTATACTTGGCTCAAGAAAACTTCATGTTATGTAGAATCATCACACCAAATTTCATCAAAATCGGTTCGATAGATTTTGCATAATAATTTTGCAATCCAGATTAAAAAAAAATTGCAAATTTTCAAAATTTTGCACAGCAAAAACCAAGGCCCTTAGATA